TTTTTTTTAATTCTTATCCATGGTGAACAATATGATTGCAAGACAATAATTTCAATTGGAAGTAACAAGTTACATAAATAAAACCATTCAAATCAAACCATAAATTCAGGTCACATTTTATCCCCTTCAATCACATTTAGTTGGAGGGATTAGATAGGATAACTCCATTTATCCAAGGCTTATCTTGTGTTTGTTATACATAATACTGCCCGCATCTTAATCTTAGGTCGGGATAAAAACTGCATTATCTGGAGTATGCGAGATTGAATAATCTGGGGCACCCCAAAGCATCTATACTTATATTAAAAGTCATTCTATTTACTAAAAATAGTAAGCATAAAAGTCAAAGGTAATTAATGCATGCTATTTTCGTCAAGTATTTTATTTAATTGTTTTATCCTATAACACAGGTTTAGTAAAAAAAAAAAATCCCATAAAATCGGTTTTTTCACAAATTGAACATAAAGCCAAAACAATAAGGCAGATTTTATCGGGCAGATTTGAAATTTAAATAACGTGAGACATTCCCACATGATTCGTTTTTAAAATAATCTGGTGTATAGTTTATACAGATTTCGTATTATACAGACTCTTGAAATCATAGGAAAGTACGAATTATGTGGACTCTTGAAATCATTTTCGGTAGATAAGGATTTCGTCTATTTTATTTTCTAAATAAATGATGCTATAAAAAAAAATTGTATAGTATAAATTACCATAATATCACGTAGGAAATGAGCAAATATGAGACAAAGATAGAGAATAACAAATAAAAAATAATATATTTAAGAAGTATATTACATCATTTTATTCTGCAAAAATTTGGCCGAATTTGTTAACTCATCATAAATAATATGACAGTACAACTTTTCAATACAACTTACCATAATTTTTTTAAAAGCACATATTATTTTGTGAAATTATTATTATTATGTTTATAAAGTACATACTATTTGTTAACAAATTATATATATAAATATAATATATATATATATATATATATATATATATATATATATATACACATCACAGTACCATGCTAGATGATTTTACATTTCTACCGAACAAAATGCCAATGATTTAAATCTGAATATGTATATATATTATACACAT